GACCTTTTAATTGGTAGAGAATTACAATCGGTATAAATGGGGTGTGCGATAGACTTACCTTCACGTGGTGCACCCTGGGCAACGTACTCTCATACGGCAAAAGTCTCTTAACCAGCAGTTGACTTCTGAATCCAAACCACCATCACCCCACTGTATGTCATATTCGACTACTTTCACAGTAATCACCTCACTTTTTTCTGCCTTTTTGTCTGTCTCTTTTACAACTGTAAATCACTCTTCTGTTCTCCACCCCTCGACTTCCTGTTACTTTGATGTCCCTTCCCCTGTAAAGCCCGAAGTCAGCTAAAGGGCTAAAGATAACTATCAAAACGCCTGCCATTTGAAATGAATGAATAATCGGTATAAATTGAGCTCATTTTATGCGTTACCTGGTTGCGATAAAATAAAAATATTAGGTTAGAATGCATATGGCCTTAATATATTAGTATATATCTATATAAGGGCAAATATAGGTTGTGTGACTCCACTTAATTGAATCAACGAACGACTTTTGTTTGCCATTGACCCTTGCCCCACCCCGGCTATAGTTTACCCCACACCCATGCACTAATTGTGAATCGTTTGAAAAGCTGTGGCAATTTTTCATTTTAATTAAAATCGAAATGGGCACCTAATTCTGTGCCCACAGAACAAAATAAACAGATAAGTGAGTATTTATCTTCTGATGAGGCAAAAGAAAGTCTTTAGGACTGCGCTTCTCCCACCAAAGATATTAATTTTCACGATTCATTATTAGAATTGGATTCAATCACAAGTTTCGGTGAAGTGTTAGCCTCAGTTGTTAGTATAATCACTACCGATTTTGTGAGTGTTCATTTGGGTGTTAGGTTCCAGGACCGGGATTCCTATCTTGTACATTACCACCTCATAAAAGATTGCTTTAAAAGCAGAGCATTTTTTGCATGGAAGATCTCTTGAGGCCTTCAGACGACTACAATAAGGTGCCCTCTTACACCCCTAATATTTGTCCCCATTCGCGACAACTCCCCAACGAAGTCTTAACTAGATAAAAGTGCACTTATAACCTCTATTCTACCCAGTTTCCACAAAGAAACTAGACGAAGGTGTTTATTCCGTTCCCCTAACCTCCATTCACTAGTTTTTCATCTACTTTACTCTCTCGTTCCTGCTGTTATTGCTGTTGTTTGGTCGGCACAACTCAACTTATGGTCCCCTAAAAGTTGACAAAATTCTATTGTCTATATGTGATTTCCCGATCTTTGGCCTTACCTTAGGAATAACAGAGCTACATCTTTTAACGGATAAATAGAAATAATGAGAATTCAGACTGTCAATTCCACAAATATAAAAATAGCAAAAAAAACACAATTTTGACTTCCTAGTAAAATAATAATGGGAAAAAAAGGCATTAGATCACAAATTTTTAATTGAACACATTAGCAAAAATACAAAATATACATAATTCTGCGCAAACAAGTAGCTGAAAAATTCAACACATGCCTTTCCGAAATCGATGAAAACATCAACTGATTGGGAACAGATATTTGGCAAACACTGCTTTAGAATCATCCCCTCCCAAGGTGTCAAGAGATATCTGGAAACGAAAAGGGCAATGTTACCACGTATAATTAGCGATTTCGTATAAAGTTAGAGGAATTTTAAACCCCATTAATAGAAATATTTGAGAAGTATGTAACAATTTCCTAAAGTCAACAAAACATTTCAATACAATGCAAACACATTTCTGAGAAGTGGGCTCATAGGACAACTTCAGATTGACATAGTGTGAAACAGTGCCCTTTTTCCATGAAATGATCGAATGAGATTCAATTAAGCTTACTAATTGTGAGAAAGTTGATAGAAAGTAGAGTAGTAATCATTAGGAGCGAGCATAAGTCATTGAGACATAGTAGGTTTAACTGGAATAATGCACGAAGACGTCTGTGCAAATATCAGACACAAACATCTAGACTCGAAACACCTACTCATGAATTAAGTTGGACAAAGCAATATCACATTCGTACCGCACACCTTTATAATGGTTTTGAATCAAGGCCCTCTTTTGAGAAACTGTCGATTCTGTGGACGTCGAACCAAGCTCATGACTGACATTCATGATTTAATGAGGCACAATATGCAACCGGTCTAGTTTTATGAAACACATCAACTTACAAGAATATTTTTGATTCTCCGCAGGTTGAATATATCCCCAGTAACACCGAAGAAGACAGCACTTTCCTGTAGATGTTTTCTCCATGATTCCTTCACTACAATAAAAGAGAACGAACGAAGAAAAATTGAACAGGCTGTTGACCAAAGCAGCTCTTAGATAAACAAACAGCTACTATTGATGTTGTTGATGTTGCATAGCCTGGAAGTGAAGTTGGAGTGCACAGTTGTTAGAACAATAATCGGGTGATTGACATTACCCTCCACGGCTTGATGTGAATCATGAACAACTTGAACTAAAGGGCAGGTGGGCTCGAAGCGTGTAAGCTTAGATAAAACGACTGAGGGAAATAATGCTGAATGAGGGTTTCCCAAACGGGGACTTCCTAGGGGTCATTTTCCCAAAAGCGCACTGAAAAAAACTTAAAATGTCATAAAATTTTTTTTCGGTAACGACAAAGAAGACAACAGTGCTAGAAATTATGGATTCGGCCACTCACTGGTACACATTTGATTAGCAAACTAATCAACCGACTAGAAGTGTCATAGAATACGAATTTCACACTAGAGGCGGCTTTAAAACACCATTTTTAAACAACTAAAGTGTTGAGAAATGCGTGTCCTTAATAGGCTTGAGAAAAACTATCACACTACTTGAGCACTGGAGAAAAATAAATCACCGGATTACCCTAATAAATTAGTGATATTAAGCTGTAGACGAGAAATAGAGCTTTCGCAGTCTTCAACCGCAATCAGGAACAGTGGGGACCTATCCGCGAAATTAATATTTGGATGTCAGTCTTAAATTCCAAAGACCAATGACACTTGGCAAGCTTTCAATTAGGCACAGACGAAAGCAGAGCCTCTGAGAACGGGCGAAAAAATGAGGAGGATTCAAGAGAAAGCAGATAATGTTTTAAGCGGTAAATGTGAACTTTGTTAAGATCGGCGCTCGCAGTTAAACAATGAGTAACGTAAGTGAGTGGACAAATTGCTTAACTCTGATCAAGGAGAGAAGTGGTGGAAAGTCAGCCGCCCATAAATGTGACTCAATGTTTCCTTCCTACTCAAATCCCGAACAACTATGACTTCTTACAGTGGACCTTGAAATTTAATACTTTGTAATTCTATCAATCTAATACTAGCCACATAAAATTCCTTAAACGGAAACTCTAGCTCATAAGATCGATGACAATGATATCTATGATATATCCGACCCAAGTTCATTATTCAAAATTAGGGTAGAAAAAGCCTCGAGTGTAAACAACATCAACAGGAAACTCATTTACTAATACTCCTGTTTGGGTCAATATCAACCAGACCAATATGAGGAACGCCACACCACTAAATATCCTATTTCCCAATACAATCCCAACCGACGCTATGGCAATCTAGAGAACAAGTGTATCAAATGCACAAGGAACTCACCATTAGAACATCCCGCTATAAATAAAAGCCACATCTTCAAATTGATCAAATTTTTTGCCAGAGCCGGTTCGGCCTGATGACAGATCTCTGTGAAGACATCATAAATGCTCAGATCTTCAGGAAGGGGATTATCCAGAGCCACATCTGATAAAGTGACAAGTGTGGAGATCAGGATGATGCAAACATTTTTTGGCACATGTAGATAATGCTGTTGGCTGAGTCTAAGGGCGGAAACTAATTGTTTCATTGCTTCCAGGTATTGATTGTTGCAAGCGAAGAGCTCCGACTTGAAGAACAAAAAAAAAGTGGCAAATAATGAATCAAGCAAATTGGCGAATTCGCCCACAATTTTTGCATTCGCAAAAGCACTATTGGCGGTAATAGGTAAGATGACCCAGTAACATGTAAGTTCGGCCATTCGTTAGTGCTATAACCTGCAGATCGGTTGAAGGTCAAAAACAAAACGGAAGGAGAATGTAACCATGGCAACAGACATGGTGCGTGTTTCCTCGACCGGAATAAGACAGAATTCGAAAAGGGAAATAAGTTACTACTGAAATAAAACAAGCATGAATATATTTTAATATATTTTATTTAGAGGCATTCAAAATGCTCGAAAAACAGGCCAAATAAAAATGATAAATCACACACAACTAATAAAATAGCAGGTATGATGACAAAAGTGGAAGAAGCAACCGAAATTAGGACTATTGTTAAAATAAAAAGGCGAAATTGCGCTAAGAGAATACTTTGCTAAAACAAAAAATAGCACATTTTAGTCTAGACAGTTAAAAGTAAATAGAAGTAAAACAGCGTCGATTACGGAGACTTGTGAATAAAGCTGGGACTATGCACAGAATATGCATGAGTAGAAAATTTAATTTCGATCTACCTCATGTGAAATTCAAAAACTAAACAGTTTACAGTAAATGAGATGTTATTTGTAAGAACTCAATTTCCAAAATAGAAAGTAGGGGTAGAATTTTGTTCTGTTGAAATTTGGAGCAATGGATTAAACAACGAGATCATTTTCTGAAAGCACTTAAGAGAGACAAGGTGGATAATAGATCACCTAATGGAATGTCAGACCATTACCAATTGAAACCAAACGTGTTAGAGCCAGGATCCCAGCATTACAAGACCAGACTAAAGCATGCCTCTGCACACAGGGTGGGAAAGAGAAAAATATGAATTGGGAGCTCAGTGTGGCTAGGGGATAGATCAGCGGTAGATATCAGTCAAGGTGGAGGTAGGCGAATATACAGCAAAAGTTGCTTTTACTCACCTTACGCTACATGATCCTCGTTTTCTTCTTCCGTAAATAAACCGGACTATACACCCTTTTGTATTCACCTTCATTACCTATATGATGGACCTTAATAAAGAGCTATTTCGATAACGTTTCTTAAACATAATTCTCATCACACTTCGCCAAGTACCAATTCCCAATAAATTCGAACAATAATAGAGAATATAATTTAAACGAAAGCGAATGAAATAAATGCATAATTGGAGAGAAATAGAGAGCAACGGAATTTTGAAAAAAAGCAAATTAGGAGATTGAAGAAAAACAAAAATAGTAACGCGAAGCTAATAAAGAATAAATAGCGCAGGAGTTTGTTTTTACGCAATCGAAGTTTTACTAAGACCTTGCAAACGCGATACGCGCTCATTTCAACGCATACGTCTGGCATTGCCAGGTGGCAAATCGGGAGCGAATCAGAATATCATAATTCAATTACTCTATCCGTGACTTGTCGTTCCCGATTCCTCATTTGTCCGCATATTTTTAACCATTTCAATAATTTTTGCGAATAGAATTCTTATTAGGAAAGAAACTGTTATCAGCCTTAAATTCCCCACTAGTCATGCAAGAGAATGTATTCGTGCCCTTTTACTTCTTTCACCATTTTTGATAATAGCGTTCCATTGGTCACTCACCATAGCGATTCTAGCTCGAATCTCAAATAGCAGCAGAGCACCAGCAGCACCAGTGAGTGGTGGCTCAAGAGTCCTAATGAGAACGTCCTTATTAATGTCGCCTGCTTCTCTGAACAACTTCTCCGAACGTGTCACCTCGTCCTTATCGAAGCCTGTAGTCGATCTCAGCTCCCTCGCTCTCTCCGCTATGCCTTGGAGAATATCCATAGCTAGGGACTTGTTTCCCCGCCTAAGTTCCAGTTTGGCACGCCTAAAAGAAAACAGTAGGGTTAACAAATATTACCTTCAGCAAAGATTATCCAAGATTAACCTACCTCAGATGAGACTCCCACGGACAGAAAAGAGCGAGATCACTGGCAAGTCGATCACAGTGGTCCAAGTTGCTTTCCATACGGAATGACTGCTCCAGCTGCGTCTCCACACGAGCCCGTTCAAAATAAGCCCTCTCTGAGAACAAACCGATCGATTCAGTTGCGGTTTTGAGCATATTCACTGCTACAGCTGGTAAACCCTTCAAAAAAGAGAGCAGGCAATATTAAAAACCTCATTTATCAGAGGGATTCGTGCAAGGACATTGAAATACCTTATGTTTTGTTAGGTAAGCAAGTCCACAGAAGATAGTATAATAAAAAAGTATTAGGAGAGAACGATACTTGACATGGTGATGACAAAGTTACAAGATCAATGATTATTGGTGCCATAGTTAACTCCAATCAACGAGAAAGATGGCTTTTATGGATTTCTCGTAAGATCAACTCCAAGACACCTTCCCTCAACATTGACGTGACCATCTCTAAAGAGCTTACACATTCCTCTATTCTATTAGTGAAGTGCAACGGGAATAAATCCATAGAAATAGATAATTGTTCAAAAATATCATCAGCAAATGCTGGCAAGTTCACGAACTCATGCAACATTCCACAAATTTCCCTTTACACACGAGATTTACGTCCTCAATCACTATTTTTTCAGCTTCCACCCGCATTCGGATATGTCAAATTAATAAAAATTATAGCTGTGTTTAACCCAAAATTAGAAATAATAACATTAGCCATTTCAAACATGAGCTAATGAACACACAGAGTTGAGAAAAAGCCGAAAATTCGGAAAACTGTGCATCCGCTAGGCATCTAGTGAGATAGCTAAGTAAATAAACGAGACTACTATAAATGTCTACAGAGATTGAGATGTCACTCAAGGTCACTAGGACAGACTACTCACCCTTAAAGCAATGACTCTGGCCATTTGGGAAATTGATAGGGCCAGGACATAGTCTGAGCTGGCGCAAGGACAAAGACACTCTAAATTGATGACACACTGCAACAGCGTGGTGGCCATTATGCTAAAATACAACATAAAATATGTAATAGGGAAAATAGTCTCAAAAAGGGAAGATAGGTAAGGAGATCTTACCTATGTCCATAGTAGGAGAAGGCAAAGGAGAGGTCTAAGAGGAGAGTCGATTGAGCCTGTGGGTGGGCGGAGATTTCCGAATTAAAATAGGCCAGAAGAACTCTTGGGAAATAAAAGACATATTGGAAGAACAATTCATCACCATAATTGTATCTATTCGTTAGAAATACCCGCCCCCCACCCCCCACCAAAAAAGGATAATTTCAAAAATGAGCTACATTTGACTTTGTTAACAATGGAGTCCATGCTCAGGCTACTTGTGCAACTTTTTTCCACCTTACTTTGCATCTACTATCGATTTTCATTATCCAACGAGTGTTAGTAACTACTAGATTAACTGAATCGCTACTAGCAGCTAACTCGAACTTGAGAATATGAATCTTCCGTATAATCAAGAATATGCGTTTCCATCTTCCACCCCCCCCCCCATCTCAGCTTCCCAATCAATTCATCAGCATGACAAAACTGAGAGCGACTCAACCCATGGGACCATAATTAAAGTGATGAACGACAGTTAGATGAAAATTTGCTTCCCTCTAAACAGTTGTAATAACGAACACTTGTTAGTGCTTCGAGTAAACCTACTCTGCCCTGCCGACGTAGTAACTGCATAAACCCTCTCCGTATATGCGCATACTTGCAAATATACAGTCTCGTGCTGTCTCCTCTCTGAGTAAAATTAAGTTCAACTCACCACTTCGTTTTGAATATCGATAGTAATAAGAAGCACGATAAGTAAGCAATCATGCTCTTATATAAAAGAAGGTTTAAGTACTCCGAATAGACTAAAGGCAATATTTGCAGTTCTATTCAATAAATAAATGAGTCAACATTGTACTTGAAGGATTTCCGTCTCCTTCCTACTTAATCTAATAGGCACGTGACTACGTAGATATAATGGCAATATTAGCCATGTTTAAGTTGACGAATAAGAAGTCGCATATGTATCTGATTCAACATATACTTACATGAAACCAAGTAAATAAATAAAGTGTCGAATGGTACTTACTCCTTAGGACTTCCTCCGTTTCCAAGGAGCCGGAACAATTTGTTACGCAATTCAGCAAGTTTGAGGTCCTAAAGGATAGGCAGAGGATTAAAAAGTGCGATAGATGAAATTAAACTCAACGTGAGATAAAAAATGTGGGCAATTGTCAAGCTAGAGCATGAAAGAAGGTTTTAGAAGGAATAAGAGAACCTTGTGGGCGCCTAAAATTGTTTGAATTGTTTAAAATGAGCGAAGCTATCGGAAAAAATTGAAAGGAAGGTAGAGATAATTGAGAGCACAAACCCCAGACCTGAAACAGAAGTGAGGTGAATTAGTCGGCCCATATTTACTTGAAAATATATATATGGTGGGATGAACTGCTAGGTTGCCCGTACTTCAGGCAGATTTAAAAGATAGCAAAATGTGAGAAGAGATAGGAAACTGATACTGGATGGAAAATTCCGTCTACTTATCGACGAAACTCGCAGAAGAAGTGAGAATTTGCTAGTTTTTTAGCAAAGTAGAAAACAACTTTAAATTAGAGAATATTGGGTCATATCTAATGAATGAATTATCCTTATAACTGAAGTTTCACAAATAGAGGATTAAAAATTTGAACTGAATTATAATAAAAGAACATAAAAAAGTGAAATACTGAAGATGCCGGGGCATTTGTAGGATCTGGCGTTCTGAATTTGAATGGTTCTCCAAAAGGATTCAGTACTTCATGAGCCATCTAAAAGGTACAGAGGTAAATCCATAATGCTAGTCTACAAGGAGATTGCAGAGAAAAATCCAATCAATGTGGAAAAGTGGACGGCAACTTACCCGGACAAATCGCAGACAAACAACATCGTTGGTTTCAAGAGCTTGAGCTAATGCTTGGTTAAGATAACATCGAGCTTGTGGGCTAAAAATATAAAAACAATGGAATCAAATATTTATTCTACTATGTGAGAAGTTAAATGAACAATCATTCATAATAATAAATACACACGGAAAACCTAAACTTTTATGAGAAATCGTAATATTTGCAATTAATAGTTGTTAACAGGGAAAGAGAATCGATGACGATCATATGATAAGCTCTAAGAGATTTGCCAATGATCACCAATCGGATTGGTGTCTCTGCTGCGATTGGCCCACGTGGTACAAACACAGACACAATGGCCACAAAATGCACAGTCCTAAGTGCAATACCCCTACAGAAACCAAATTTAACTCACATTTGATTGAATTTATAGTGCATATCCGCAGCTCCTAGGGTCATACGAGTCCAACCGTCCATAAATCTCCTTTCTGCTACAAGATCATTAAGCTCCGGTTTGGGAGTAGAAACAGCCAATTCGAATGCCTTGAAGAGATGTGATTCAGCCTCCGATAGGTTACCGCGACGTACAGCCAGTAAGTGTAAAGCGTAGCGCTAATGTAGTAGAGAAATAAATGGCCGATAAAAAGTAATATTTAAAATTTGGACTACAATGCTCTCTAATAAGTTCCGCGCTTACTGCTTTAAACATATCGGGATAGCGTTTTACGAAGGACTCCAGGTTAAGAATCAATTTTTCCAACTTCGAACGAGAAAGAGCTCCCAAAAGACCAGATTTTTCAATGATGTCCTCACAATATGCTTCGACTTGTTGAAAACTGAGAAAACGTGAATATAAAGCAAAGTTAAGTTTCGAATTAGTAGCTCTCGGTAGCTTTAAGAGAGATGGATACTCTAAAATATGCCCAAACAATCCCGCATTTTCCAATATGAAGGCTAAGCTACTCAGAATACTGCAGTTACCGCCTATTATTCCGGAGTCCAGGAGCAAGAAATATGGAACATGAGGAAATGATGGACGAACAATGCCTAGACAGTCATACTTGAAGAATGTCTAAGTTATCAAATTCATTGGAAACATTACGACACTTGGAGGCTCAGTGAGACTAAGCGTAGTTGAGTATTACTTTGCTTCTCATGGGAAATAATTACAAAGAGAAGAATAAAACAAATCAGGCTTAGCGAATTTCGCACAATATTCGGTCCCCAGTAAAATGAAAGTGTACAAAATGTTGAAAGAAAATATGATAATCTTTAAATCGTACTTGGCCAATTTTGAAAGTAGGCTTCTTTTGATACTGATGTGGAGAAAAAAAGAGAGATTAACTAAGTCGAGAAATAAGATTTTAAAAGGGAAATTTTGAAGAGAGGAGGCTCCAGCCTAAAACATCTAGTAGAATTAGGAGACCTTTGTACGAAGATTGAACTTAAAAAGAAAGATTCCAACATTTCACAAGAAATATCATATTCACGAATTTATTAAATCTAGGGAAAGAGATAATAAAGTTGCCATAATAAACGAATAATGGATGAATAACGGTAAACAAAATTTGCGTTTCAGCAAAGTAGAAGAATAAGCTTTCAACATTAAAAAAGATACAAAAACTACATTTCGTACAGCTATCTATAAATGTGTTAAGTCAACTTACCTGTTCAAATTATCCTCTCCTGATTCGGGATTAAATGGAGATCTCACTACATCGTAGTGAGCGTAAAAGGCGTTAATGAATTCGCTGATCTGATCAAAGTGCAGCATGTGGAAGGCAATAACAAATTTGCGCATAAATTGACCAACAAGACTGCTCAAATGAAAGGTGATAAGAGTTGGATCTTCCATTTCACCAGTATCCCGAGCAAAAACCTGTTTAATTGCATTTCGATTGACATAAGCGACGAGATAATCTATATTTCTAAATGTTTGCAACCTATTAAAATATTGTTTTAATATGAGAAACAAAATTTGGTACATACTTTTCAGCTATCAGGTGCATAAGGGAAGAAGGCACACAGTTGGGATCAAATATATTATTTATAATTGATTCATCGCTCCCCTGAATAATTTTCAATAGAAATCTGTAAAAGTTATATTGTGTCACTTCATCGGGATGCTTAATTTTATAGTAATTCTCAAGATATTCGCGAGCAATTACGAAACCTGAGAAATTATTGAAGGTAACAACATTTCTGAACTGAGCCGCATGAGAGAATAGTTCGTGGTAGTTCATTGAATTACAAGATTAGAATGTCGAAACTGAAAAATGAAGAACTTCGTATTTAAACGTAGCTAACGGTAGAATTAAAAATCGGAATAAAAATATTAATACAAAAATAACCAACAAATTTGATTTTATCGCTTTAATAGAATGAAATAGATACAGAAATAAAAGCCAATATGATGCATTTAATAAAAAGACGCATAGGCAAGTAGAAAACATTTAAGTTGAGTTACATCAAAATCCAATAAAATACACAAATCACATACAGCTCATTAACTACCCAATAATATTGATGCAATATCTTGACCTTCAAATCAAACGAGGCAATTTTTCTTTAGCTTATATCAAACAAGATAAAATGATTCGTTTTATATGGGAAAAATTATTAATACCATATTTCAGGCAATAAAATTATTCGTTCGTATTTTAAAATTTAATTTTTAAATTTTAGCACATATTGATTCAAACATGACTACCGAAAAACCCGATCTTGATTAATACCAGCGTGACATTGAGCATCGATTTTTGCTCTTAAAATAAACAAAACGAATTGTTTTCAATAGGTTGCCTAAATATTTACAATTAAATTGCAGGCCACTTTGTAAAATATGCACAATTATTTACAAATAATATATGAAGTCAATTTTCTCTTGACTCTGACTAACCGGCTCTGTTATATACCACGATCAAAGTATGGAATTTCAGTTTAGTTGGTTTATCGGTTAAGACTTTGAATAACTCGGATTTTTAAGGAAATTCAATTCACCAAGTTATACATGTAAACCATAATTAAGGAGGGGGGGAGGTTATTAGGGTCACTTTGAGCTCCAAGTTTTCCAAAAGGGAGTAGAAAATAGTGATTATTTGTAGAGGTGGATGTCATTGTGCATAATTCGGTCTAAGTACGAGAGAGAGAGATCATCGGTGATTTGGATAAATCCTAATGTATTAACTTATTCAAATAATTTAATTGGCCAACGCTAAATAAGGAAATGTAATTCTAGATTATGAATTGGTGAAATTAGGTCCGGTTAGACTAGTGATGAGCAATAATGGAGGAGTTTAAAGGAACATAATTGGCAACATGACCAGAGGCTACAGAGAGAATTCACAATTCACTAACTAACACAACAAATCTCAAACTGGTATTGCCCCAAATAGCGATTGTAATGACATGTAAATTGAACTAGCTTCACAAGAGTTAATTCCTTGCCTCAGGTTAAAGTTAAACACTTTAAAGCCTAAACGAAGCAAATTGCAAGAAAGAGCTTATTAAGTCACGCACACAACTTCGGTTATCTTTAATTGACTGAAATTTTCCTTTTGCTGAAATACTACTTCAATCGGAAAATGCTAGTGAGCTTTTTGCACAGACCACGATAGTATGTGCCATCTGAAAACTTAAAACCATTAAAATTGAAATTGGAAACGAGTGATTTTACTGAATAAGTGAAGTCTTCCAAAATTTAGGTTAATATTAAATTTGAATTGAGCTTTTTAAATTTAAAGTTTAATGGTATTGTATTTATCTATCAACTGTTTCCAATAAGCATAGAATAAATGAGGTTCCTGATTGGATAGGATGGTTTAGAACGTGAGGAATGAAATTATGAGAACTAGAGAAACTTGGCTTCATTTGATCTCGTGATAATTTTTATTTCACAGTTCAAATTTTATGATTTAATTCGTAGTTCAATGGCCAGAGTTTGAAGACGAGATTTCCCGGCCGACCCCTTTCTCTATTTCTCTACATTTTCGTGTAAAAGCACAAAGTTATGACAAAGGTAGATTAGGTTATTTGAAATTAAATTTATGTAAAGTATCCCACATGTTCAATATTACATAACATATAACATGACACTACCATAACAAGGTCATTTTAGGAAAAAGCAAACACAAGTATGCAGTAGGCGATATTATAAGCTTCGCATACTTAATTCCAAACGTCAAACTAACCGTTATTTTTACGAATGTCAACGATCGAAATGTGTTATCACCACCAAGGGAGTTGATTCACTTTCGAAAACATCGGCAACACCACTTCGAACTGCCGAGTGGCGTCTTTGTCTCTGCCCCCCCCCTTTCTGTGTAATTTGTTTAAGATAAACTAGGGCAGCCTCCATGGCAGACATTTTAACTCCAAAATTAATGACGATTCGCTTCGGCCATAATTAACGGAGGTAGTTTTTACTGCTAATTGTCCTTGCAACATTGCAAAAATGATCTCACATGAAAAGGAGAATTTCAATGGAGTCTAGAATGCCTCTGAGGCTAAACGGGGATACTAGAACTGATCATCAAACCTGATCCAATTGCTGTCCCACAACACACCTCCTCAAGACCTACTACAGCATAGTGGTTGAGCTCTTATCATAGCAGGTGTTTCGTCGCCACAGTTATGCGAATGTACTACTCACTATCATGAAGCTTGCACTCAGTGAAGACTTTCCACACTATATCGATTTAGATTTGACTGAGATGGCTTTCTCTTAACAAGGTCCACGAAATTGGCCTGACAAAAGAGAAGAGATTTCTGATCAGGGTGTAGCATTCTGCTGAGGCACAAACAATCTGGTTCTTTTCCGATGAGAACAGCTCAATTTACATAAATTCCCATGGTTTTAGGAGATGTGTCCCACTTCGGGGTTGATGCGATGGGATATGAAGCCTCTCTCCCCACCCCTCCCCTTCCCTCAACTTCCAAATAGTTTTCAAGAGAGGATTGGGCTGAATTCAGGTGGCTACGTGAGATTGTTGGTCACTGTGGTAGTTAATACTTGGTTGGCTAACGAGAGTAAAGGAAAAGAGAATATAAT